AAAACTTCATCTGCATCTTTTCTGCTGGCACTGGCAGAGTTCAAAACTTGAGAGTCCAGAGCAGTGCTCTCTTACTGCCTTGGTGGGAAGGGGCATGAATCACTGATCAAAACAGCAGCACAAAGTTGATCTGGATGGTTTTGTTCAGGTATTCTTGTTGTTTGGTGTTACTATTTTGGTGTGAACTCAATACCTGAAACTAGTTTTATATAATAATCTAGAACCAACAATATTTCAATGCATTAGAACTCAACAAACATGGAAGTTCATTTCACAATTTTTGCTTGAAAGCAAGAAATCTTTCTCCATCCAGTTTTTAAAGTGAGGACAGTCAACTGAAGCCCTTCTGCAAAAATCTAGTACTTTGCACACTTTGAGTGCTGTAACTGAAGACAGGGTGTGTGTATATATATGTATATATACACATATATAAACTAGAAACTGCATGCAAGTTTCATTTTTTCTGGAAAAAAACACACCTAGTGAGCATGGCAGAAAAGAAACATTTAAAAAGTCTGGTTCTTACACTGTACCTTTTGCATTTCATATAAATGCCCTTGTTTAGTTTTTTTAAGCATCTGTTACAGAGATTAAAATATTCTTACAGGATTCAGTAGAGCTTTAATTTTTTTTTATCGCATTTGGAGTAAGTTTACCATTTCAGTCTCAGAATTAAATCTACAAGGATTTGTCATGAAACACCACCTAGAGAAATGCAGTGCTGGACATCTTCAAAGAAGAAATGCTATATAACTCTACCAACACAATGAAAACTAGCTCCAATATGCCTCCCAGGTAGACACCACCATTCTCACCTAGGAGGGGAAACCAAAACAGAGCACATCCATTTTTCTGCCATGGCAGTACTGCAGCACAGATAAGCTCCCAGGAACCAGAGTTTACAGTAGGTCCTCTACAGACACTGATCCTTCCTCTCCTGCCTGGCCAAGGACAGCAGCAACAAAGATGACAACCTCTTAAGCTGGAACAACAATGCAAATACCAAAAATTGCAGTGTATGAATTTTGGATAAAAAACCATAACATTTTGACTACACAACACAGTAAGAACTCCTCATTTACTGTGCATCTACCCACAGCTTCCCAAGCTGCATTCCCCCTGCAAGGAAAGCATTTTGTTACCCAGTGTGTTCCTGCATTCCACTGTGCTGTCAGAACCAAACTGCTGCACTCGTTCTCATTTTTACTTTAATTCCAGAAGACTTTTGAATTTGGGTGACTGCCTGCTGGAGTGAAGAAGGGCTGTGGATAGGCATGTCTATAAATATCCCAAGCCTGCATTAGTCACAAGGAGCAGCTTCTGCTACAGGAATTGTTCTGCTGAATCAAAAAAACTGTTGTGCCTTCGGCTGCAGTGCCGGATCCTCCACCTCACTTGAACTTAAACAGCAGCAGCAGCAGAGCAGTCACTCCCAGATCCTTACAATGTAGGAAGCA